CTCAATTTTGTGAGCATGGACCATAAATTTGGCCTGGGCATTTATCTCTAGGCATCAAAATTAATTACTTATTAACATCTGTTTACCAGCTTGTTCTCTTTAATAATTCAATTTCCATTAACGGACTTGTAAAGCTCCAAGGAATTAACATCAAAGGAATCCTTAAATTTTAATTTGTTCATCCACCCTCATTAATATAGAGCACATGAGCTGCTTTGGATGCTTTTTCTTCTTTTAACGGTTTCAAATCAAGGACAAATTTAAAGATAATATCTGCTTATGCTTTTTCTTCTTTTAATGGTTTCAAATCAAGGACAAATTTAAAGATAATATCTGCTTATGGCTCCGATCAAATACATTTTCGTATGAACATGCTGATCATTCGTCTTAGAGCATCTCCAATGCCGATGATGCTCATTCATATAAATAAAAAGTAACTTTATTTATTTTTAAATATAAAGGATAAATTTTTTATTTAAATCCTATTGACTCTTTAAATTTTAAAAGAGATAATACTTTTTTTCAAGAAAGAGAGAGAATTAATAAATAAAATGTATAGCAACTTGTAATATATTAATTAAAATTAGAATTAAGAAAAAAAATTAACTTTCTAGATATTGAGAGCTAAACTCACTCTTTAATTTATATTTAAACAATAAAAAGTTTGTTAAATTCTTATTTTTATAGATTTATAAAAGGTTTGGATCCTTTCAAAAGTAGATGCTCTTATAAACCTGATAATTTGCCTCATTAAATACATTTCCATCGTTCATTGAGAGCATTTAAAGTGGCTCAACTGTGACAACGTAAGCATTAAATTAATCCAATGTTAACTAGACCCCAATTCCTCGGACGCATATAGGATCCTATAAGGAATATTTTCTATATAAACACCTTAATCTATTACGATAACTCTCACACTCATCTTCAAAAGAAACTTCCAACTCTCTCTTATAATTTAATCAAGTCAAATTATCATGGCTAACCCTCTGGCTCTTCGACTGGCTGGTTTGGTGCTGCTGTGCATGGTGGTGGGTGCGCCCATTGCCCAAGCTGCCATCACTTGTGGTCAAGTGACAACCAGACTCGGGCCATGCATAAACTACGTCAAAACTGGCGGGGCTCTACCCCCGGCTTGCTGCGCCGGGATCAAAGCACTTCGAGCGGCGGCCAAGACCACAGCTGACACCCAGGCGGCCTGCAAGTGCATTAAAAGCGCTGTATCAGCCATCCCCGGCATCAACTACCGTATTGCAGCTGGGCTTCCCGGCAAGTGCGGTGTCAGCATCCCTTACAAGATCAGCCCATCAACTGACTGCAGCACGTAAACAAAATTTTTACACACAATTGTGAATATATATGTATTGCCTCATTATGGATTTTAATCCTTTATTAATTTTTATTTTTTATTTTTTATTTTTTATTTTTATTTTTTTTGTTGTTATGTGCAGCGTTAAGTACTGAGTTCGTGAAGAGAAGCAATACTTCTCAGAAGCAAAATATATTATATGGATGGAATAAAGTGGGTGCGAAGAATCTGTATCTTCTCATCTAGGGAGTACTCGTAGTGTTAATCTAAGTAATTGTATTTCTTTCCCTATACCTTGTATCCCACATTTTATATTTGACTACAAGAGGTAGACTACTTTATTTTATGTATAAATGATCTTATCTTGATTTGGTTTATATTGAACATCCATTTGGCTGGTGCATTGTCTAGCTTCAAGGTTAATAAAAGAAAAAAGGATAAAAAAATTGAAAAAAGGGAAAGAAATATCAATCATACATGGCCGTTCATATGCATATATACTTTTAGAAGCTAGACAGAGTGTTCATGAGAAAGGATATTGGCTCTAAAAATTGTGGAAGACAAAACAAGTTACACGAGTGTTCTGTGTGATTTTTCCACCAAGCTCGAGTATCGCAAGGTTATAGCAAGATCCAGAATAAGCTCGACTCCACCGATTGTCCGACCCAACATAAGCTCGTCGAGTTATAGCTCGACCTAGCACAAGCTAGTTGCAACCAATCCTTACGATCGTTCAACCAATTCACATATAACTTCAGATCCCGGATATCTCGGGAAGAATCAGATCGACGGCAATCTTTGCGCAATCATAACGTCCAATCGTAAGAATATCGAAGTTGCATTTCAATTTAATTGTAATCCATTTATTTTCGCTCCTTCTTTTATACAAACTTTGTGTATAAATCCCCTTGAACGATAAGGAAGGGGTTAGAAAACATTTCTAGGATTATAATTGTAACCTCTTGCAGCAAATACAAAAACAGTAGACGTAGGCTCAAGAGCATCTCGCCGAACTACTTTAAAAATCTCTTTGTCATTTACTTTATACTGCATTTATTATTCATTTACTGTTGGTTATCCGTAATCACACACATTTATGCGCTACAAAAACAAAGAAAACAATACAAAAACAATGGACATAAGATTTGCATTGAGTCTGAACCACTTTAAAAATCATTTTTCTTGTGCAATCGCCTGTTTTAATTTGTGTTTATCATCCATCTATGCTTCCGGATATGGCTGTTGCAAAACATATTAAAGTGAGAGAATTTTATTTTCGTCCCAACAGTTTCATTTGAAACACGAGTGTTTTGGTTCTTTCCTTTGACACAACACATGCAGTTAAGTACCGTTAATTGACTCAAAATTATATTAAAAATATAAAAATACCCTTCTAAAAAGCACTGAAAATGCATTACGCAAGTATGTTTATTTACTAAACTTCTATAGAAATGGTTTGTGTTTACATCAGTATTGTTTGTATAATTTACTTTTCATTATATTTTAAATGGGTATTTTCATTATTTCAATACGATTAATTTTTAAGTTGACAACGGTTTGTTAAGTTAAGGGACCAAAATGATAGTATTTGAAATAAGTATGGTTAACATAATAGGTGGAAACTATAGGGATGAGATTGATCAACTCAAAGCATTGAATGTAGACATGAAAACTAAAATATTATTTGTGTTGATTAGACCTTGGTTGATCTTATCTTATACTCCCTCCGTTTGCTTTTAATTGACGTTTTAGTTGTGGGCACAGGTTTTAATAAAAAACAAAATTTCTCTCTCCCACAATTTTTTTCCCTGATTTTGCAGACAAGACAAAGGCATGAATGAAAGGCATGAGGAAAGATGCAGACAAGACAAGGGTAGAACGACTTTAATTTTGAAAATTTTAAAAAGTCTTAAAACATCAATTAAAAGCAAACGGAGGGAGTAAGAAATTAGATTCGAGATATGCATATGCATTTCCTTAAACTTTCTCACATCAATTCATATTCGTATGTAGCTTTTTGTCATGAGTTTTCCCCCCTTGGACACTCTTTACTAACTTTATTTATTTCTGCCTACTCTATTTGACCTGGAAAAACAGATAGTGGATCCACCATTAGCCACTACTGGATATGTCAACAGAAAAATCTATTAATCACTCCCTAGAGCAAGCTAAATATAACACGTGTAAGTGTCCACTGTAGAGTGCTACGAGGGGCCAAAAAGATGGTCCCGCAAAAGAGTGTTCATCATCCTATCAATTTGATTTGAGAATAAGACTTTTGATTTGAGAGAATGCTATCCTTACAATTTAATGCATATATTTAAGCAAAAAATTTATAAAAGGCATCATATATCGATACGATTAATAAGTGATTAAGAGTATTTTTATTAATTTTATTATACGAATATTTAGTAAATAAAAAATAAAAAAAAAATATTTTTGTTAATTTTTAAATATTATATTTAATAATTTTTTTAAAAATATTATTATAAAAATATAAAATAATCAGGTTGGGTGGGAGCCACGTGAAATAATTACACTGCTACTTGTTTACTTTGGAAGATGCCCACCCCCACCCTGAACCGTCATCAATCAAAACCCCTTGTATGGGAATGCGACTAAAGGGAACTGGACAGGTATGGTGATCACACTGACACCACATTTACTTGTTTCTATCAATATACACTGAACCTCTCAATTATTATTCTTCATGGGCAATACTAGTCTTACATTTACAAAAATTAAAAAAAATATATAAAGATAATTCACATCTTTCATTTTCATAATTTCTCTTCCTTTCCCTCTTTTTTCGTTTTTCTTTTATTTTTTCTTAATTATTATTCTTGAGCAATACTAATCTTATAAAAATAAAAACAAAAAAGATATACAAAGACAATTCTCACTTTTCATCTTCATAATTTCTCTCTCTTTCTCCTTTTCTATTTTTTTCTTTGTTTTTTTATTCTTGTTCCCTTTTTTTGTTTTTTGTTTATTTTTTCCTTCTTATTGATATCACTTTATAATTCTTTTTATATTATCTTTATATTTGTGTATTGTCTTTATAAGGATTGCATTTTTCATTATTCTTTACCACAATTTCCGTCAAAGCACCGCTTGATATACCTAGCCACCATCACCACTTAATACTAACAAACAAATTCAAGTGGAAACATATTACTCCACACTTTTTTAAAATCACAATAAATAAATAAATCAGGAACTCCTTTTGTAATTGAAGTTGATCGGTTGACGCTGTTGTGGTGTAGATCGATGGGTGGCGCGCTCATCGAGGCCTAAGCTGCTGTGGCCACGCAGGTGGCACGACCACAGATGAAAAAATTAATTTAAAAAAAAACACACAAATAATGATAATAAAAGTTATATATATATATATATATAACCAAACCAAGCCTTACAAAAAGAAACATGTAAATATGGATCAAGGTGGAATCTCACTCTCAGAGGCAATAGCATTATTGTAAATTATGATATGATGAAAAGGAATAATAAAAGAGTTGATAAGGCATCCATGTTCTCATCTCCACTCAAATCCATGGTAGGACTGCCACCCGGAAATAGATTTGTGTTTACAGAATTTTAGAAATTCCATTAGATTAGATTAGATTTGGTTGGGTCTTTAAAGTGTAAAACAAGAAAAATAGAGCTCCGCAGGAGCAAATCATATCAATCAAACTCCCCTCAAAATCCAATATTGGTTCAATACACACATCACATACCACTCTATTATAAAGAGTTGTTATTCAAAGATAACAGTAATTACATAGGTATATATGTAGACTACAAGAACAAGAAGCATATTGGTTGTTTTAAGTATTAATATAAATTGCATTTACATACCCTTTATTACAGAAGGTTCTTCAGCAACTGCCAATTATCATTCTTTCGTAACAACAGTCGAGGTTGACAGATACTTATTCTCTTATATTATTTGCTTTCATTAAGAATTGTTGATTTTTTCAACACTACTTGCAAACTCAAAGCACCCACTCTGGAATCAGTCCATTCGCATCTTGGGGTGAAGTAGCCGCAGTTCCCTCATGTGTAACCCCACCAGAACTGCAACTGAAACCGAAAAAAAAAAGGTATTTAAGAACCCAGTCATCAGTAAAAATTCATTATTTGATGCTAACATGAAAGACAAATTACCCCATCTGCAATGTGCCATTGCCGTGTAAAGGATGGATAGAAGGCTCATACTGAGCAGGTTTATGGCTGTAGGTGAAGCTTTGTTCGCCAGTTTCCCATGATTTAAGTGCTACATCAATTTCTTCCAACTGTCCAACATTCACCTTAACTAATAAGAGCTCATCATATGGGGGAGAATTAAAAGTGGAGAGTAAACGTTTGATAACCGATTAGGATGTACAAATAATTGATGATGAGGGTTAGTAGAAGTTGAAGTTGAGCAAGCATCTTACCTTCCTCTTTAAGACAACGTTGGTTTCCATTAACATTTCTTCCTGCGCAAGTGAAAAATGAAAGACAGTTTACGGTTGACAATAACTTTCATCTATATGTACACAAGTATGTATATAAGAGAAATTAAAATTTTGATGAGCATATGTATACCTTCCTTTGGAGTTCAGAAAGCCGATCAAGCTGGGACTGGGTCTGCATTCGATGAATAGTAGTGTAAAGAACTTTAGTTTAATACTTTAATACAATCTGTCTACATATTGGTCATTTAAGATCGTTTGTGTCATGTTAAATCTCAAATAGCATGTAGTCTTATTTTTCAAGGAGTAAAAGAAGCAATAACACGAGTCAATAAAAGTAAGAACGAGGGAGCTTTAAAATTCTGGGTTTGTCTTGAATCATCTTCAGTTAAACATAAGTTCAATAGAAAATTTGATGACCTCAACCCACATCAAAATATAACATGTCAAGCTCATCAACCGAATATCAGGATACCTTGAGTGACCTGACTTGCCCCACTGAAATGTCCAGCTGCCGCTCAAGCCGTTCAAGCTCTGCTATCCCCAAGTCTCCTATATCTTCACCAAGAAGTTGTCTACACAAAGCCAGTTAAGTCTTTATAATTATACTATAAATCAGAAAAGAAAATGCAGGCCGTCCAAGTGTTAAATGTGTGTGTGTGTGTATATATATATATATATATGCACAATTGCTGGATGTTTAGCATAGTGAAATACCTCTGTGAGTGTTGTAGGTGCTCATATTTTGATTTAAGCTGTAAGTATTCGTGGTAGTTGCTCTGCGTGATGAAATACACTAAAATTTGTCAATTTTCATTATGGCAGGAGATTCTTAGAAAAAGTATAATCATATGACATAGTGATCACTTAGTTATATAATAAGCTTTACAAAAAGTAGAACTAAGAGTAAACTAAAAAAAGAAACTATTCAATGCATCAATACATTGCTAAACAGTGTGTTCAACAGTACTACTAGACATTAACTCAATTACCTCAGTATCGTGAGCTGGTTGGTTTGCTTCCAGAGCTCCAAAACTATACTTTTCGTACTTGTCAATTGTCTTGGCAACACTGAAATTAATGTAGACATAAAATCAGTAGTGGGCAGTTATCATGGATGCAAAATCTAACTAGAAAGGCAGCATTTTGCTCTTAATAAAATGATAACAAGTTATGTGAAAAAAGCATCTAATTAATAAAACATTCACTGGGGTTAGCTTAAGCAGAAAAGATTTTCACTTCTAATCAAAGCAGGCACTCCAACTAAAAAGGTTCCAAAATGACTTCAAACATCAAGTTAAATTTACCCTTGGTCTACACTGGGGTGCCCTATAAGAGGCGCGTTAAGTAAAGGTGCTGTTGCATTGCACCTCCTCTCGGCCAAGGCACCGCTTGATGTGTGGTAGGGAATGGGGACTCAAGATTGGATTGGAGTCAAAGCATATATCATATAGTTCAACTTACAAATGAGCATTGGGGTGCCATTTGACTGTGCTGGGGCGTAGTTAATGTACTCAGTTAATCATCTTAATTCTTAAACATACCTCAATGAAAAGAAATAATATGCAATATTCCAATCAATCCAGAAACACAACATCAACTTGATGACAATTTACGTTGTAAACATACTTCATATCCAAACACAATGCTGGTTATAACTTCATACTCCATTAAATCCAAAACTCAAGTTTATACGTAATTTAAACTTGACAATTACTTTCTCTATTCTCTGAGCAATATGTGCAACTAATTATATCATATAAGATTTATTATAACTTGAAAAATTTCCACAAATTCATGGCTATGATATCCGATAGTAAAGAAGTGTTGACTTGATATTAAAAATAAATCCATTACAGCTCAGCTCTACAAAGTTTTATATTAAACTGCATGAAGAATGACTATACACTCACGTCAAGATTAAACATCTAAATTTAATTGTTAACATCTTATATCATAAATTCATAAATCCTATAAACTAAATAGACTTATATGAAGGAAAAAAATTGTGTAAAGCTTAAAAAAAAAAAAAAAAGGCTGATGGTACAATTTGGCCTTTTCAGGTTGAATTGATGATATGGTACTACCCATTTTAGGTGAAATACGCTATCGTGAGCCTAATTGCCATACCAAGTTCTAGCATAGTTTATAAGCATTGTTCCTAGCAGCTATGCAACCTATTTTGGATGAAGAATAGCTATTGCAAACCTAATGGTTATACTGAGTTTTAGACTTTGTTTATAAGCCTTGGTTTGGTGGATTGACCTCAAACATATATAACTGTTATCAAAACGGGTTTACGATCCGATGGTGTGATATGACAAACCACCAGGTGAGGCCTAGGCTTGGTTTATAAGCTTTAGTCCCATTCAAATAAGCAACTGTGATGCACTTTGAGTAAAGCATGCAAGTTTACGTAAATGTAATGGTCAGATCGAGATAAAAGCATAGAAGTGATATAAGCTCAGGTACTTATAATAGGTATAAAAGCAAACTTATGGTATGATAATGCAATATGACAATCACGTAATGTTTAGTTTTATAAGTTTTCAAGCCTTTAAAGTAAAAGATGCTTTCGTTGATCCTCTTGCATGTGCTAGTTTATAAATTAATCAGTACAATTGTAAGGATTTGCTGTGAACAAGTTACACAAATGCATGTAATCTAAGATTCATGGAACCAGATTCTTTCATTCACTTTACTTTCGTTTTTTTCACCTAGAATCTTTGACACACGAATATGAAGTGTCCAAAGGGTTCAGCAAGGAAACAGAACAATTTAATGGTACAATGCGACGTATTCTAGTAAACTTGATGATATAGTGTTAGACATTTGGATGAAGGATGCTTTTATGAAACTCAAAAGCAAATATACAAGTGCGAAGTCCCACTGAACATTTGGATTGATATATATATGTGTGTGTGTGTGTTTCTTTTCTTTCTTTTAACTTGTCTCAGTTTGGGAATTATGGTATATGGACTGAAGCCAACAGACGTTATGCGTTAAGATTTTGTCAGCTGAAGAAAGTTCAAATAAAGCTACAAGACAATGCATGACTGTGTTAGTACACGTTCATAATAACATGTACATAATTATGCAACGCATTATGCAATTTATTTTATATATATAATGTTTCTCAGATTCTTAAACTCAAGACGAACACCACAACAATCCCATCTGCCACCTCATTACTTGAACTTTTATCTATTTAAGAATTCTACATTACGGGTATCATGCCCTAATCTCTCTGGAAAATATTGCACCTGCACCCGACTATTAATATACTTAATTTTAATATTAAGAACCAAAAAACAAATCATTTAAATTTATTTCTAATTTCTAAAACAGTAAACCATAAAAGCATAACTTAACCTAGATAGTTAGTTATTTGAATTGTATATATATATATTTGAACATTGATTATTATTAAATAGGTTATATATATATATACTTTGTGTACATAATTTTCCTTTTATTTCCAATTTAAAATACATTAAAAAATTGATTTTAAATTTTTACTATAATAGGGTTTCACTTGTTAAACTATGAATGAATTCAAATGAACTAATGACATAATACACACAATGAACCACAAATTTTGGTAATTTTATAGCACCATTGAAGTGATTTTAGATGCTTAGAAGAACCTTTGAAAACCGAGACTTAAACCGGAAAATTTCTAAGTCTTAATACTCTACGATTACGAAAAATGAAGAGCTTTGATTCATGCATGCCGATTTCAATTCCTCAGTGATCACCAGATCCAATGAAAAAAATAAATAAATTTACTGAACATGGTTTTTGGTTCAGGAAGACAAAAAGACAGGAAAGGAAAACGAAAAACAATGAAAATTAACAAAAGAAAAAAGGCATAAATATTGAAAGGGAGATTTAAATTCTTAATGCAACCTTGTAAATTCTTAATGCAATCTGTTTCCTTTACTACTTTTAATTGATGATTAACATAATCTTCTTTGACATTAGATTTTTGCCAGTAAAATCCTGCACTAGTATATGGTCTAAATGCATTCCAGTTAAATATTGATCAAATTACTTGGTATTTTATCATCAATTGAAGCGGGTATAGGTAACAGAGTTTGAAGCTTTTGAGCCAATGAGGTGAAATACTCTTCCACAGAGAAAGCTATAATCTCCTCAGCACTTCTAAAATCAAAATCAAAGAGAAGTAAGTAAAAGTTGATAACTTTAATTTGTAAATTTTTATATAGTGAATAGACATTGATCATCAAGTACGTAAACTCTGGAATGGCTTTCTTTGGATATTTACCATTTTAAAATAAAATGGCATACTTTGAATGAGCCACTGGAAATTCTAATTTAGACAATTTATTCTGTCCAAGACAAAGAAGACATCACGTTCCCCTAATAGAAAAAATAAAATGAATATATAATATATATTATATAAATATATAATATATATTATTAAAATTAAATATATATATATATATAAAAGGTCAGATCTCAGAAAACATAAAAATCCCACATCAAAATCTAAACAAGTAATACAAGAGAGAAGAGACTGTTAATTTTCTTCCGATCAAAGACCAGAAACTGCACCATATTAATAAAAAATAAAAAAATAAAAAAAATGAACATATTAACTAATTCTAATTCATCAACCAAATCAAAGTAGCCACATCACCAAGAAAAAGAAAAAAAACACAGTGATAATAACGTTAACAATCAACAAATCTACACGAAAATCTATAGCAAAATAAGATGTATACAAAGAAAGAACGTACTTGGAAATGCTTGAGAACTCATAGAGTTTGCCACGGCTAGAGAAGATGATAAGAGCAACCTCAGCTTCACATAAAACTGAGAGCTCATAAGCCTTCTTTAACAATCCATTTCTTCTCTTTGCAAAAGTCACCTGCCGATTTATCTTGTTCTCTATCCTTCTCAGCTCCACTCTTCCCCTCCCCATCACTACTATTTTATCAGTTACTTGTTTTTTTTTTAATTTATAAATCAATTGTAACAACCAAAAAAGAAGGATTTGATCTTCTTTTTTTAATATATTTTTTTTTTTCAGCTTCTTGGTTAGGGCAAAGAAGCTATTCTGTTTCTGAAGAGAGAAAGTACTAAATATAAGTTTATAAAGAAAGAAAGAGAAAAAGAGACAGTTAAGGGAGATAAGTTAAAGTGAGTGGGGGGAATTTCATTTGTGCTTCGTTGTGTCTCTCTCCTTCGTGCGTTTCAGATACTCCTATTACTACTAACTCATCATCACTTATCTTTTTTATTTTTTGTTTTACTTTTTACTCTGTCCTTTTTTCTTTTTCCCTAATAAAATCGCTGCATTTCATTAGACAATCTTAGCATTCATGAGTTTAAGATTTTTACCTGTCCATACCACATGCCACCTCAATACTATTATTTTTCTTAGGTTGGCTATACTACCCCTGTAATAACATTATATTTCCATACCTTCATGGTGAAGTTCAAGTGGGTTTAATCTTAAATAATTGGATAAAGCTCTCCATGTATAAGAACATTTCAATTCTTTCCTAAGTTTGTTTAAAAATTAATGGTGAAAAAGCAAAAGGAGGTTCCATGAGCTCTTAAGTTCGAGTCCTCCAGACATTAATAGGGATGACCAATGGCGGACCTAGGATTTTTGCCCGGGGGGGTTTCCGTGGCTCCGCCATTGTTTGTCAAACAACTAGTGAAAAATTTTAAAAAATCACCTAACCTTAAGCAAAGGAAATAATATAATATTAATAATCTGAAAGAAAATAATGCAGCAACACAATACTTTACCACTTGAATAAATCTATGAGAAGCAAAACCTTGAACAAATTGTGTTGAAAATAATATTCAATTCACGAGAAAACACAGGAAAATTTTTACGTGGAAAAATCTCTTTAATTAAAGAGAGCAACAGATTATGGGAATCTAACGATCCACTTAAATCCAATATAATTAAAAGAGTTTACAACAATCACAATCCACCGAAAATGCTCTACATAAATTTCTTATTTCTCTTTTTATTTTTTATTTTTTTTTTTCTTTCAAAGATTATAATATAAATTTTCATAACTTTAATCAGACTTAGCCTAAGCTAAAGTCAACCAAAACTTAAATTAAGTCTATATTTTCTTGACTTTTAATATGAAGTAATAAAAAAAATGAAAATTTTCTCAGTATAAACATAGATAATAACTCCAACTTCTTTAACAATTTTGAGCAGCTAAATGGTGACGTTTGAAATGTAGGAAAATGGCGGGTGAAGGGTAAAGAATAACGTTTAGTAAAATATAGTTAAGATTTAATTTGGGAAAGCAGAAACATTTTTAAACATAAAACACAAAACAAACTCACAAAATTCATACCTTTTTCATCAAAAGAATAAAAATCCTCCAAAAAATAAGCATGATTCAACCCTAAAATAAACTAAAATGAAATGAGCAATACACATACCTAAAATTCAGAAAACAGAAAACAAAGCTAATTGTGACACCTTGATGAGAGAATAAAAAATTTTAGGGATAAAATCATAAAAAACAGATGCACGTAAAAAAGAGTGGAGAGAGTTTTAAACTTTTAATATGATATAAGCGTGTAATATGTATATTAATAACAAGCTTTTTATGAATTTAATATATGTATAATATTTCTTTTTTTAATTTTTAAATATGAAGATAAGCCTATGTGTATATATATATTAATAGAATTTTTTATAAGTCTCTATAAATAATTTTTTTTTTAAATGTGAGGGGCTGGGTCCGCTCCTAGGGATGACTATTGGGGTTCTTAGCCAACCGACAATTTCAAGATCCTAAGACTTTAATTGAAGTGTACACAAAATGATAAAAACACTCTCGGTGATAAAAAAACAAAAAACAAAAGCGTTTGTTTTTTCTTTCAACTAATCAGAATAAAGAGACAGTACAATCAACAAAGAGAGGAATGGGGAAGGGAGGTGGAGGAGGGGTCGGGATGAAATGAAATGGCAGAGATTGGATTCCAACATTGCCCTTCATCGATAAAGTTGCCATGTTAGGCATAGCCTTCTTCTTCTCAGCAAAATGACATTTGAAATCATCATCATGTATCAAGTATACGTATCAAAAATCAAAAGTAGTCTAATTAATTACAATGATATTTAATTAATTTGATTAGTTAACTTTGCATTGCCATAGCAAGTGTTAAAACAAAGTTTTAATAACAGTAAAAAACCCCATTTTATATATCCGTACAACGAGTAAATCAAAGTTTCAAACGCTAATTTTTTTGTTTAATTTTATTCATTAAGGTACACGTCATCATTTAATTAATATAAGTAAGTTATCATAATAAAGGCCATGAGATCGAGGGACAGGGAGTCAGCAAGCACATGTCTGAACTTTGACTTCAACTAACAAACAAAATAGAACAAAAGAACAGAGGAGTTGTGTGGTTAAAAACAATTGAATATCGATGAAGATTATTATTGGGAAAGAATAGAATACTGTTAGTGATTATGAAATTGAATAGACTGTATGTTTGAAGTGACTGCTCAAAGCCTGTATCGCAAGAAACGATAACCAAAAGAAAAACGAGAAAAGACCTAAAGATAAAAGCATTGCAGTCACAATCTTGAGCAGACCGATGCCCAGAACCTCAACAACGTGTCGACCTATCATTCCTTGCCTCTTAACTTGTGAAAACGAACATTAATGTTTCGCTCACGCTTTTCCTTGCTCGTGTCCACTTCTCATTTGCTATATGAGCTAAATACTTTTTCGTCCTTTGTGGTTCCAGTCAATTAAGTCAAGGACAGTTTTTTTAAATACTATAATTTTAGTCCTAGGATTTAACAGACGTTAGGGTAAATTTACAGAAGGTTAGCAAAGAATCAATCAAACCACCAAAACCCAACAAATACAACAAAATCAAACTCAAAAATCCATAAAACTCCAGTTTTTGGCAAAGAAAAATACTATGCTTATTCACGAGTTGTACTAACCGTCTTACTACTTTTGTTAAAATTACACATGGTACCCGTACTATGTGTATGGTACCCGTACTATGCGTTATATTTATAAAGGATAGTAAGATGGTTAGTAAGATGGTGAGTAAGCATAGTATTATTCTTTGGCAAAAATACTACCATTAAAGAAACCCAAACATCCTCAAAATTTAAAGCTCAACACAGAAAACCCATCAAAGAACGCACACATATTTTTTCACTCTTTTCCTTTCCTCTATCCTACAAAAAAAACCCATGACAGAAAATCAAACAAAAGCAGTAAACTCTTCAAAGATAATCATATTGGTAAGACTTTAAGAGGGCGTTTGAATCATATAATGTTTTATTATAGGGGTATTTTATATTAACGGAAAGAAATATCAACTTTAAGATTATTGAGAATATTTAGAAAATGTGTTTGGTTGGTTCGAATAAATTGATGAATAATATGTTTGGTTAGGAGGATAAATAGATGAGTATATTATATAGATTACTAAATTACCCTCTTTTTTAAATATTAATATAATACTATTTTTTATTATTATTTTTTTGAATAATTCTTTTAACCCCCTAAATTTGAAATTTTGCTAAAACACCCTAACCATATAAAACTTTAATTTGTAGCAAAATCACCCCCACCTACCCCAAGCCACTGCTGACAGTCAGCCACCACCGCCGGCCGCCGTCGACCGACGAAATGGAGCATGAGTGGTTGTATATGGCCAGTCGTGTGCCGGCAAAGCTGTAAATGGCTATGGACACAAATCCATGGCCGAAAAAGGGCCACAGATCTAGTCGTGAAATGGCCATAGAAACGCTACTAGATTTGGCTGTTTCCGGTCATGGATCTATGATCCATGGCCTGAAAAGGCTTTACCGGCGCACGACCGGCAAGATCCCGTTGATCATGCACCATTACGTTGATTAACGCTGGCAGCTGGCGATGGTCATGGGTGGCTATGAGTATTTTGTTAACTTTTAAACTTTTTTGTGATTGAGGTGTTTTAGTTAATTTCTCAAATGTAGGGGGTTGGATAATTGTTATTTGGTAGACATTTAAGGATAATTGTGTCCGAAATGGTTTTTAAGTAAGGGCAAAATGGGTAGAAAAATCATATTATCCCGGTAATATTTTAATAACACCCCATAACAAGCTAATAAGATTACCCCCCACATTACCAACAGTAAACACAATTTGCAATAAAAGATTACCGTAATATTTTATTACTTGCAAACCAAACATCGAAATCTTGCAAAATAAACAAAGACTACTCCCGTTATCTTATATATCCCCGATCCAAACAGCCCCTAAAGGTAAATTGTTTTAAGTCTTCATTGATTGAATTGTAGGTTTAAAGGGTAATATTGTCTATGTACACCAGATTATGGATGAGATAATAATATTATGTCTCGTCAACTGAAATTTCAAAACATTGTCCTTGATTCAGTTGAGTGAAAGCACGAGGATGAAAAGTAATTAACCTTCAGAAAATACTTTAAATTCATATGTAAAATGGAAACGATGGAAAGGGAATAGCTATATCCTATCAATTTCAACTTTTTGGCCAATCGTGTTGTGCAGAACCCAACCTTCACATCCATCCCACCCCCGACCCACTGCCATTTCACTTTCACTTTCACTTTCTTTTTTGTCCAACCATCTGATGCAGATGTTTGCAACTACCAAATGGATAGCTATGTATGTTGAGATATTTTATGATTTGAAGGAGAATAATAAACTAAGAGTTGATTTAAATCTTTGAGTAACTGAAATTAACTAAAAAGAAGATGTGCTTAAAATCAGTGTGTCACAACGTGCAGTTAAAGCTACAAAATAAAATAATGTATTAAATGTGTGGTTAATTTTATATAGAATTTGGAATTTTGTAGAGAGAAGAATATGCTATTGTGCTACATCACTTCAATGATACAATTATATACGCATCTTAAAAAGTAGAATGCTCTTTACAATTTCAATTGCTATTGAAAAGGCATCAATGGCCCAATTGTTGAAGTGCAGTTGGGCTAATTGATCAAATATTTCTGTGGGCTCTACAAACACAAT